TGCACGTGCAGGTCTCTACCAGTAGCCTCCTAGAAAGTGGGGTGGTGAGGGTAGGCCATATACCCACCTCTAATCTTTTTTTTTATAGGTAGTCCGTGGAGACCATGCAGTGGGTAGTAAAATAACGGGTGGGGTGGGGTGGGGTCGGGGGGTAGTAAAAGCAGGCGCGAGCCCTTCCTCTCTCAGTCGAGGCAGCAGCGGCACGGCGGTTGCGCGCCGAGGGAAGTCAGAGAGACTGCCGCACAGCCGGTTCCTCGAGCGAGAGCTCCTCCCCCGCCGGAGACTTGCCGCTCTCATCTGGAGCTCCTCCAGAAGGGTCGCACCATGTGACCCGCGCCTCGACTCCTGCTGTCGTATTGCTCGGGATGCATAAGCGGCAGCAGTAAGTGGAAATGGAAGATACCCTATCCCGACCGTCTTTGGTACACCAGGGGAAACAAGGACGGTTTACCGGAAGAAACCTCATGGCAGGTTACCCCCCTACCCTTCCGCAAGGAAGACCCGAGCGCTGTAGCTCACCATGCCGAGGCTGCATGCGCAGATGCAGATCGCGGCATGTGGAAGAAGAAGGAAAGAAGAAGTTTGGCTGGACGACTGCGACGTCTGGCTACCCCCGCCGAAGAGACGCCGAAGATGTGGATATCTGGAAGTAGAGAGTCCACGACCCTGTCTTGGTAGGCAACCCTCTCATCACGGTTCAGAATCAATAAAACCAAAAATAATCCAAAAGATCTCAGTTGATATCAAGCTGATGACAGCAATGCTGTTTGGAAGAGATTAGCAACGAAGTTCCGATTGTTGTTGACATACTCCCACATCAATGTGCGTACAATGATAAAACAGCTCCTGGAATGATGCGCATGTGTTCTAGTTCATAGATGTTACATTAGAAGGTAAGCTCCCACGGCATTCGCTTCTTCTGCCTCTGCGATGTTTGAGTCCCGCGAACATCTGTCGCTATGGCGGCGCCGATCAACTGACCATGCAAATAAGATGGTGAGGAGTGAGGACAAGGCAGGAGAGGAGACGAGAGCAAGATAAGACAAGACGAGAAGGAGAAGAGAAGGGAAGGGAAGGGAAGGGAAGATCAGAGAACAGCAGTGAACAAAAGAATTGAAGAGAAGAGAAGAAGAAGAAGAAGAAGAAGAAGAAGAAGAAGAAGAGAGAAGGACGAAAAAAAGTGAGAGAAGAGGACAAGGGATGTAAGAGAACAGGGGATGGGTGCGAGCATCCAGGGTGGTGATCACAATCAACAAGACAACCCGATCGATTTACCTGAACATCTTTCATGTACCCCAACCTTGAACTGTCTTTGCTCCTCTCTACAACGCTGAAAAACTCGTCACAGTCATCTCTTCCTCGATTCCTGGCGAACAATCCCCTTCCCCCTCCCCTCTCCCTGCCCCCTGCCCATCCCCCCCACCCCCCTCCCTTCCTCCTCCACCAACACCAACACCTCCTCCTCCTCCTCCTCATAGTCATCATCATCCTCTTACCTCAAGCAGTCTGTCCATCCTTCGAAGAGAATCCCAACAGCAACCGCAGTTCCACCTGCTCTCCTCTCAGCTTCTCCTCTCCCAGCTGAAGCTCACCAAGAGACGTCCGGATGTTCGCCCCTCCGAGCTCTCCGCGGAAGACCAGGCCGACCCCGTACCTGCAGCAGCAGCAGCAGCGTCATCCTCCTCGTGCCTCCCGCTAGCGGCTGCTGCTTCACCTGCCGTCCCTCCATACGTAGGGAGAGATGCCAGCCTGAAGAAAAGCAAGTGAGGAGGAGGAGGAGGAGGAGGAGGAGGAGGAATGGCAGAGAGGCAGATGAGCGCGATGGCGGCGCAACGAGCAAAGAAAGGGCGAAAGACGAGGAGGAGGAGAGGAGGAAGAGGAGAGGAGAAGGAGAAGGAAGATGAGAGGAGAAGGAGGAGGAAGAGGAGGAGGAGGAGGAGGAGGAAGCGCACGAGCAGCAGGACCTTGTCAACAAACTCAAGGGCGGGGTAGGGATATGCTTCAGAGAGAGGAGGAAGCTTTAGGCTGGCAATCTCCTGGTCTGAAGGAGGAGAATCCCTTGCCAAGTGTAGAGGGACACCTGAACCATGATGAGACTCCACCTCTCCTGCTGTTGCTGCTCCTCCTCCTCCTGCCTCCGCCTCCGCCTCCTCTCCTTCATCCCTGCCGTGCTCACCCAGGTGGTCAGCGAGTTGCGTTGCCTGCTGCTTGAGATCTTCTGCTGCCTGCGAGCATCGATTAGAAAGAAGATGAATAGGCAAAGACTGGAGGGAGGAGACAGGAGGAGGCAGGGGGCTGCGGATGGGCGGGAAAGAGGCATGACAAGGAGGATAGAGGGGATCAGGTGAAGAACAGGAGGGAGGGGTCAGGTGAAGGCAGGAGGGAGGGATGGGACCTGCTTGTCGAACTCCCCCTCAAAGTAAGGTCTGTCAACAAAGAGGACCGTCTCCTGCGTATCCTCGCGCAACAAGAGACGAGCGACGCAGCGGGCCCGCCACTTCACCTTGCGAGTCTCGATGCCATGGGAAGAGGAGGAGGAGGAGGAGGAGGGAGGGAGAGCAGGGTTGACGCAGAGCATCCTGGTGTTTCCCTGGAGGAGGTACCCGAGCAGCCCCTTGAGTGTTCTCTTGTTCGCAGGCTCGATGGCCATACAGGTACGTGCGTCCTCTCCCATCATGAGCATGGCCTCAAGATCCCTGGTGCCGAGGAGAGAGGAGGAGGAGGAGGAGGAGGAGGAGGAGGAGGCGTCCGAAAGTTGGATCCACTTGTCGACTACGTCCTGGCGTAAGGAAGCGAGATGTTGGTTGTTAAGAGGATGGTTGAATCTGATGTCGTCAAGATTTGCGTTGCCCAGGAGAGCATGAAAGACGTAGAGGACAAGTTTGCGTGCGCTCTCGTCGTCCTGTAGTGATGATGAGCATGAGGGGGAGGGAGAAGAGAGGAGATTTCAGAGCAGCAAGGAGGAGAGAGTTGTATGAAGTGCAGACATGACAGGACAGACAGGAATGAACGGGGAGAGGAGGACAGAGGGGAAGGGTGAGAAGCAGAGATCAGAAGAAGAGAAAAAAGAGGGGAAGGAGGAGGTAGACGAGAGGAGACGAGAGGAGACGAGAGGAGACGAGAGGAGACGAGACGAGAGGGAGTTTGACCTGCTCGATGTTGAACAACTCGAAGAGCAGAGCTGGTTGCCGCCAGTCGCGGAGGAACGTCTGACGAGGAGGAGGACGACAACAAGATTTCAACGGCAAGTCGGACGAGACTCAAGTCATTACACGGTCTTACCTTGATGTTTCTCTTCATCCTGTTGACGTCAACGTTGGAGGAACTTTCAACCTCCTCTGCCACCCTGTGATGAGAGTTGGAGGAGGAGGACAGAGGGACTGACCTGCTGTGGCTGAGAGGAAAGATTGAAGCCCGTCTTCAAAGATCGCCATCATCTCCTTCCACATCTTCGCACCCTTCTGATGTAGCAACGAGGTTATGAAATCTCATCATCGTCCACAACAACCAAGTTCAGTTCTACCTGTCTGCTTGTCTTGTGGTCCTCTATCAACCTCTGAAGCCTCTGATTTGTCTTCTCGTCGAACCGAGCCAGGGAGGTGACTGCAAGTTGTGGTGAGTTGAACATGAGGCAACAAACAGCAGAGCCCTCACCGCATGTCATTGCGTTTGAAGCAATTATCAGTTCATCTCTGTCCAATCACATGTTATGCACTTTGAATTTCTTTCTCATGTCCCTCGTTTCTTACCCCATCAACAGTTGGTCATCGTCGCCTGTTGCCATTGCGATTACACTTGTCATCGTTGCAATCAGCTCCATCGGAGCCTGAAGGTGTCTTGTATCATCTGCATCGAACGTGCAGGAGGCGAAGAACTCTTCGAAGATCCTGTTCTGCCGTATGTTGTTGTTGAGAAGGACTTGCTCTTCGCTCTCGAGGTCTTTGAGCTTGCTTGCTTTCGCTTTCAGGTTGTCGCTCTGGATTGCAACTTTGAAACTTTCGCTGACTGCCCACCTGTGAAGAGAGTAGGGAAGAGATGAGTTGAGATGAGATGAGAAGAGGAGAGAGAGAGAGAGAGAGAGAGAGAGAGAGAGAGAGAGAGAGAGAGAGAGAGAG